AATCATGATGAATTGTGGTGAGATCAACAATAAGATCTCTAACCACTCGTTGAGATGCAAGATCCTTATACTTGGTTATCGTAGTTCCAATGACTTTACAAATTCCTCGAATTATTGTTGAATTTATACCTATAAAAGACGAATACAAATTGAATTAATTAACAAAATTAATGTAAACATTAAATTTATATTGAATAGAAACAATTTGTCGCTTTATGTATATATTTAACATATTTTACGGTGTCTCTTAGACTAACGACAAGTGAGCAAATTTTAATCCAATAATCGTGAAGACTATTGTTCCTAACTAAGAACCGCGCCAGCCTATTAGGATGGGCCTGAAGATTGACCTTATACTTAGCTTTCACCTCGTCACCTTTCACCTTTGTGAATATTATCATTCCGTTTGTACAACGGTGCCCCAATATAGTTCTCAGAATTTAAGATTGAGCTCTTTTACTATGAGCCCATAGTTCAGAGCCAAATGTCTAAATTGGTTTAAGGACTGCATTGTACAAAAATACTTTGTACTCCAGTTTTAGTGGTGAATGGACGTTTATTAGCCAGTGTAGACCAGCTTTAAATTTCAGGAAATTTCTTTTAGCTTCAATATGCTTACGCCAAGTAATCCGTCTATCCAGATGGACTCCAAGGTATGTTACTTCAGTTGCTTGTGGAATGTTGATCATATTTAATGATAGTGAAGGGCAAGTTTGTATGTTTAGCGTAAAAGTGACATGTTTGCACTTTTGGCCGTTTACATGTACGCGCCAATCTGCAAGCCATTTTTCCAAAAGCGCGAGATGAACTCCTATGTTTTGCTTTGCTCTTGCAGGGCATTTAGATCAGTATTATCAGCAGTATTATAAGCAAATGTTGATTTGTTGTAAGAGTGGTTGTTGGTTGTTCTGGTGTGTAACTGATATATATATATATATATATATATATATATATATATTCTCAGAGAAAATCTTTGCATCGTACTGCACAACTTCTTTCCTGCTGGTATGACGCCAATATTTTATGTTTTGTGGAAGTATAACATACATTTAATGAACAAGGCCGTCGTTCAAATGCATTTCGTATCACAGAGGTTACCCGGTTTACTTGTTCTATGGTTCGGTGTTTTTTTCGAAAGCAAAATTGGTGCATTGGGATGGCATTATGGGCGTGAAGGTGTTGCTTGATGCGATTCTGTCGCAGCGTTTCAAACATCTTCGATGGGCGCAGCAGGAGGATGATTGGCCTATATGACGATGGTTGGGACTTCTCCTTTCCAGCTTTATGGATCATTGCAATGACAGACTTTCTGCATTGCTGAATTCAATAGCCCCAATTCGTCAAGCTATTAAATATTATTGAGGGAAATATACTGCACAGCTCGGAAATCATAGGGAGATGAAATCGTGACCCGGCGCTTTTTTGATCTTTTGAGACTTTATGACTTTTGTTACTTCATCCGATTGAAATGAGATAGGCAAAATTGCTTCAGGATTGTTGATTATTGGAAGCTCAAAGCTGTTTATTGCTGGAAGTGGTTTGAAAACGTTTTCTAGATGGAAAGCAGTATCTGTTTTCCCTCTCTTCGTTGCTACGAGCCCAACTCCTGTTGGTGTGTGTAATGATGATTCACTTTCGATTGTTGAACATATGGTTGATTTTGGTTGCCACAGTGATCATTGTTTGCTTTTTGGAGAGAGTAGCTCCATAGCTCGAGTTCTCTCATCTTCTAGGGCTTTTCGTAGTAGGTTATTGCGTAGCAGTTCTTCAATATGCCTAGAATCACGACTGCTGTTGGAAGGCTTATTAGCAGTTGTAATTGGAGTGAAGTGTTGTACAGCTAGTGACATAACAGAGACTAACGCATCTACTGAGCTGTCAATGTCTTCTTTAAGACATGGGTACTAACATACTTTCTGGATTCAAACCAATCTATTATGTTTTCTGCTGTTTTACTATAAGTTAAAAAGTTTGGGCGTTCTGACAGCTGCGGATGGTCATAAAGGTGAGGTAAAATCGGCGAGTGATCCGACGATAGATCTAATAAGTGTTTCGAGCGTATGAGATAGCCATTCTTCTTGTAATAGCAAAATCAATCAAGTAAGGCTTCTTGGATCTGTGGGCTAGTATGTTGGCTTGCCTGGAGAGATAAAGTCTAGCTTGTTTCGGTGGTATGTACTGGACGTTTTGTCGTTATTTGTTTGAACTTCGTTTTTTTTTAAAGGCGTACGTTCAGGTGTCAACTCTACCTTGAACGTTGGTTGGGGAATTTTATTTCTATTTATTATACTTATAGCCATTTTAACGTTGAAACTCTTTTCTCATTAAGTCCATCGTCGATAGGGACTGTTGACTCGATTCTTTTAATTACCACTTGAAGTCCTTTGCTAGTTTTAAGTTGGCAGGTTTAGTAATTTATTTTTCCGGTGTCAAGATGCTTGGACACTGATCGTTTACCTTGTTTGTCACTTACGAATGGCACTGATATGCACGGCAGAGAGCGTACTGTCTCCGTATCGACTTTCTCTCTTTCGCTCGTATAGTATAAAGAGCGTTGTTTCTGATTGACGAGAGCCGACGTTCGTCTTGTTATTGTTGCCGATTTTTTCTCATTTTTTTAAATGTTTTTGGAGCTTGCTCTCTTACACGTTGGCGTTCTTTGTGTAATTGTATTGTTCAGATTATTATTTATAACAATATTTAATAACTATCATGGGCAACACGAGCACACGTACCCATTTTTCGCAAATCGCGGAGCGAAATAAAAGACGTCTGATGGTTCAGGGCATTTGTCGTGTTAATTTTATCTTAGCAATGAAGCATACACATTTTCACGTCGGTTACCCCAGACCGCATTCCTTAAAACCGCATCCACTTAAAAAACATTACTAGAAAGTTAACGGTATTCCAATGCAAGCAGATAGTTTGCCTACTATACCTTATGTTCAAGGGAAAACGACTATTAACATTAATACCGTAAGGTAATACATACATAAACACACATTTCGTAAAGGATTAATAGAACATTTACACATTTAATATCACAATCGTTGTCATGCATTTTACATTAGTGATTTCTTATTGAACACTGTAAAAAACATTTGTTATTCACATGTTAAATGAAAATAAAACAAGTCAACAAAAAACTATTGACACCGATTTCAAATCGAGCAGTCGAGGGTGTTTTTAAATCGCTCAGCCAAATTTTCTCTGAGTCAAAATAAATCTCAGTCAAAATAAAAAAAAATTAGAATAAACACAAAGAATTATTTACGCGGAAAGACGCATAGGCACTCATAAACGCCTAATATATATTATTGATTATGATTATGATTTTTATATAAAGATAAATCAAACTTTTCTTTATTGAGTTGGATTAAGAACTAATTAACTTAGGTTGAACAATTGTTTTTTATAGCTACGCGTCGCTCCATCGCTGCCGCTGTCTCTGCCGCTGTTGATGTTTCGGCTGACTGAATGCGATTCAAGTCAAATATGCTGCGTTTTGTTCGATGACGCGTTCTCAACGAGATGCCAACTTTATAATGCCCCTCTCATAGAAGCTCGCTTCTCTATTGGCAAAAAACTCGGAATGCCAATTTGCACAGGACTCTCTTGCGGCCAACTTCAGACTACCAAGCGCGTTCGCCATGGACTGAATCAGGTGGTAATCACTTGGTCATTTCCTACAAACTCACTTGCTTGCACGTCGATGTTAAGGTAAACTACTTGATTTCCGAATACAACTGGACAAACTTATACAATTGCATGGATATGGAATGTGCCACTGAAGCTATAGATTTTTCCAAATATCTGAGTATCGGTGTAAAAGCGAATTTTCAAATAATCCGAAGCAATTTTATAACTTTATGAATGTCAATCGAAAAAACTCCGCATGGCATTCATAAGATCGGTTAAACTCACCTGAGGTGTCTACTGACTCTGAAATTGCTGATTTGTTTGGCAAGTTTTTCCAGACTACCTATAGTGCGAATTCTTGTCTAAATTAAGTTAACCTTTGCAATTTAAACAGGTCAAAATGTATTTTTTCCCCGGTAATAACAAAAATTTATCTTCTAAAGAATTTGTAGGTCACAGCACCAACATACTCTTAAACCTACTTGAATTGACATCTATATAGTTAAAGTATATAGTATATAGTTAAAGTATTTAACAATAAAATGCAGACTGATTTAATATATATAGATTTAAGTAAGGCTTTTAATTCTGTAAACCATTCTCTTCTTCTATTTAAATTAAATCAGCTCGGATTTTTGAATAATCTTTTAACTTAGATTTCAAGTTATTTGAATGAAAGAACTCAGAGGGTTATTTTTAAAAACGCAGTTTCTAACATGATTAACGTAACATCTGGAGTGCCTCAGGGTAGTCTTTTGAGCCCATTGCTATTTACTTTATTCATCAATGATCTTCCTTCTGTCATAATACATTCTCAAGTATTATTGTATTCTGATGATATTAAACTTTCTTTGTCCTATAATAATTTGCAATCGGTTTTCAGTTTACAGTATGATGTTGATTGTTTTCAGAGATGGTGGCAATCTAATCAATACAAAAAAAAATCTCCTTTTCACCCTTCGTGGTATGAACTGGGATCAAAACGTAAGGTTGCCTTCTTACTCTAGAGATTACTATAGCTTAATTTACCTACCCTGATAAATCGTAGAATCATGGTTGGAACTATTTTTAAGCACAATCTTATCAAAGGAATTATTGACTCCATAGAATTGGTAAATGTGCTAAAAAAAAAATGACCTGCAACGAAGTGGTCTCCCGAAAATTAACCGGAATTTTGGGGCCATTCAATAAAACCAAGCGACATTCTGTCAGTGTGGGCATAACATCTTCTTTTAAGGGAGGGATAGGGTTTTAAAGGCGAAAAAAGGCATATTTTTATGATGTTTTTGCGACGACATCTATAATATTTTTTTTTTTAATTTAATTACATATCGAATTTTTTTGTTTTTTTTTTTCAAAAACAACTTTTAAAATCCTAAAGCTTGGTTTTGGCAGTTGTTCTTTTGGAAAGAGGACATGTAACGTTTAATGATTTAACAATTATTTCATTACAAAGATTATTGCATAATTTTCTTACAATTCCACCCAAACTGAATCACACTCGTCACACAAAAAGTTTTAGAAAAAAAAACGAGCGCAAAAGTGCACTATTTTTATTAATTGACTAAAATAAGTACTATTATCTACCAGTATTTTGTATTTTGGGGTTAGAGCTTACCCATGATTATAAGGAACATTACAATGAATATTTGTGATTCACAAACATATATTATAAGACAATTGTTCATTTCTAAAAAAATTATCTTTTTACTAGTTAGATTTCAGATGTAAGCCTTAAAAGCTAGCTTTTTTTCAAATAAATAAAAGTTTTGGAACTATTATCGAGTAAGGCGTTGAGAGGAGTTGCTTCGGTGTATATTGATGGTATGGACGGACTCGAGCTTTCGCTAGTAGAATGCTTCTTTTTCTTGCACGTGAAGAAGTCGTTATTTCGGAATGCGGAAAAGTCTGGTAAATTCTGATTGTGAGTGTGGATCATTCAGGAATTGTACAGCAGTAGAAAAGAATAAACTGCGATGTTGCCGCCAACACTTCGGACCCGGACAAAGATCACGGACCGAAAATTAACGGTATGACAGTAGACCTTGGACCTAATCCGTAAGATGGAGGAGAAGTTTAACGGTCAGCCCGAAGTAATAGTGCAAGAATTAAATCGCACAGCCATTAGTTAAAATTAAACAACAGCCTGAGACAAAACACTCCAAAAAATATTTAGTTCACCCAATATACAAGCTTCAGTATCTTTTTCACCGCAAAATTACCGGGGAGGAGCCTCACAAAAGAAACAGACCTGCTCAGTGCGCAAATTGACAGGAATATAGACACACACAAATTTACTGCGCTTTACTCCCAGTAAATTCCTAAATTCATAGAAAATAAAAAAGATTAAGCAGTGCCAATTACAGGGGATGCCCAGTCTAAAATAAATTAAAAGTCGTCTAAGCCAATGGCCCAATCAACCAGCTACTGCGCAGTATGCTACCAAACCCATTTTTTTTCTACCTTCTACCTTTAAAATGGGGGCAAAGTTGCGGCGATACACTTCCTGATCTGGCTTCGCAAGGAAAGTACAAACCCTTTTGTCGTACCGCAGTCGACTCCGATCATATGCATTTTCGAGGTTCTTCTGCACCTTGTCATGGATCACTTGGAGTTTATCAGCCGTTCCCATCCCCGCCATTTCATGATCACACAGCGACTTCAACTTCCTTGCCAACTTGTAGCTGGCTCCGTTCAGGAACATGTGTCGTCCGAACACGGTGAAGAACGGAGCTTCTCCAGTTGCTGAATGAACCGCGTTGCGGATGGCCACCTCAATCTCTGGAAGATACGCGTGCCATTCTCGATGATCTTCTTCTAAGTACCTTCGGATCGCCGCCAACACGCTTTGGCTTACCCTTTCCGCAGCGTTGCTTTGCGGAGAGTGGACTGGCGTCTTGATGTGCGTAATGCCAAAGCTTTACATCGCCTCCTCGAAAATCTTGGACGTAAACTGGCGGCCGTAGTCCGAATGCACTATTTCTGGAACCCCAAACTTGTAGAAAACCTCGTGAATGAGGAAATCCACTACATTCCACTACATTTGAGGCCGATGCCTCTTGCATGGCTTTCAGAAAAGTGTATTTGGAGAAGTGATCCACCACAATGAAGATTTAGGCCTGTCCCTTCTTCGACCTCGGATATTTCCCCAGGAAATCGATATACAGCTTCTGAAATGGCTGCTCAGTCTGGACTCTCTCACCGATACCAACTTGCATCCGGAAATTTGGGGATTTCGTCTCCTTACAGACTTCACACCTGCTTATGGACTCCCGGACTTCCAGTGCCATGCCAGACCAGTGAAACTGCCGCCGTAGGATTTCCAGAGTTTTTCCCATTCCGCCATGAGCTGCTGTTGGATCCGAATGTGCACGCTCAATTATGCTGTGGGTCAGACTCTGGGGAATCCATAACTTCCATTCGAAGCCTTCCACCTCGAATTCTAGATTTGAAGAAGAGACTCTTGAAGATGAGACCATCCACTATCCTCAAGTCAGGTAGGTTGGCCAAGTTTCTTTCCACTTCTTGTAACAACTCCGTGTACTCTTCCCCAGCAAACTCAGTGGGCTCGAAGCCGAGTAACTCTGACGGATCCAGTGTTAGCTCTTCAACACAACGTGAAAGTATCTGCCACGACGTTCTTGCTTCCTTTCCTGTGTTCGATGTTGAAGTTATATCCCTGGAGTTGCAATGACCACCGAGCCAGCCGACCCGAAAGGTCTTTCATGGACATAAGCCACTTCAAGCTGGCATGATCCTTCCTTCCTTCCTTCCACATACGGCCGGAACTTTCGAATGGCCAGCAGGGCATTCTTTTTCGGTGACGGTGTAGTGGACTTGGTGACAACTCATCTTGGTTGAGAAAAACGCTATTGGTTGCATCGCACTGGATGAAAAAGTGCCGCTTGAAGTCCGCATGTACCAGCACTGGTGCAGTAGCGGGTAAGCATCTGGGCAGCGGGTAAGCATCTATTATGGTCACCTCATTAAGCTTGCGTGCGTCTAAGCAGAACCGGTGTTTTCCAGATCTTGATACTACGGTGGTGCGGTTGCTCTAGGGGCTTTTGCGCTCCTCGATGACTCCTAGCGCTAGCATCTTGTCGACCTCGTCCTCGACCACCTTCTGCTTCGCGGGAGACATCGGATAGGGTCGATCCTTGAACACTTTGGCTCCGTCCATCAGCTCAATAGTGTGCTTCTCCAGACTGGTACCTAAGCCATCCCTCTCGAAAGTCAAGAACTGCTGCTTGATCTCCTCTAGCCTTTGTTCCTCGGCTTTGGAAAGCGTCCAGGACTCGGGATCGGTTTTCTTCTCATCGTCATCCTCGACCTCAGCGTAGTGCTTCATCTCCCTGGCGTGTAATTCTTCGGCCTTCTTCACGCCTTCCTATAATTGACCGAACCACTCCAGACGCCGTTCGGACGGCGTACTTCTGGACGGGCACTTCCAATGCCTCTACCAGCTCTCTGCCACCTTTTCCAAACAGACTAACACTCGGACTCGGACTGCGGCGAATGGTCTGGGATCTCGCGACAAACTCCGTCGGCAGGTCCGACGTTTGCGAAATCGATCCCTGGCCTTCTGCATCCCGCCTAACTGGTGCTCTGAGAAGATCCTGTTCCTGGTCTCTAGGTACCCCCGCATCCTCGCCGCATAAGGTAAGTATTGTAATGCAAACTTATTACTATTCTTAGAAGGGAAACATTTATCTAACACTACCAACTCTTCTTCTCTGCGGGACTCCTGTCTGGACGCATCCTCTCCGCCCTCGGATCGCCCAGCCGACCGTTTTCCGCACAATCCGGACATTTGGGACGGTGTCTGGCTTCCCACATCGGTAGCAGAAAAGTCTGCGTTCTGTTGCTGCGCAGTCACGGAACCCGTGATCCACGGCTCCGCAATTCCAGCAGCCGGCTCGGAACGGATTCTTGAGCTTCGCCCGCACTTCGTCCACCTCGTGCCACGGAGGATCCTCACCAGGATCTGGGCCAATAGCCTCGCTAGCCTTGGCCTTCTTCGCCGGAGGATACCGCATCGGCTGCGTGTACGTGGTCCGTCCACGTCGTCCAAAACTGCGTTCCAGCTCGCAGCACTCTTCCCGCAGTTCATCCACCGTGAGCACATCCATTGCGTAGACAAACCTTGCGATGCTCTCCCTCAAGCCCTTTTTAATAATCTTTACCAGCTGTCGCTCTGACAGTGGCCTTTTCAGTCGAGCCGCCAACTGATGCCTCGCGTGGATGTAATCGCCAACTCCTTCTCCGGGCTGCTGCTCCCTCTGCAGAAGTTGGTGCATCCGATCGTGCTCCGTCTGATGGCATCGGAACCTATCCATCAGCGAGGCTCGAAGCTCGGACCACCTGTCCACCCTGCAGTGACGCACGTGCACCCAGTATCACTCCCGAGTAAGCAGCAGGTGGAAGTTTAGGAGCACCTCTTGCCACGGGCATTGGCACTGCCGCTGCAGGGCTTGCGGGGCTTGGCCAGGGATTCCTGCGGTGATCCTTGAATCTGGACGCCTTCGCTCATCCGGTATGCTCTCCAGGGGAAGCTGAGACCGCTTCTTGGGCCTTCCGATGGGTCTTCGCCGCCTGTGGCAAAGGCACATTGACGGCCGACCTTGCAGCGGAATCCACAAAAGGATCGTGGAGTCTTGCGTCCTTATCGTCCAGCTGCAAGAACTCATCCGCCGCGGAACCAATTCCCTCCAGGATCTGCTGATGCCTTAGGTCCTGCTGCAGCTCGGTGTCCTGTGGTCCTTGTTGCCCTCGTTGCAGTCCCTGGCGCAAACGGGCAAGCGGAGTCCTGGCAAACCATTGCACGGACGACCTGGGGATGCGAATCCTTCGATTTCCTTCGAAAAGGACACGCCTTCCTTTCTCCCTACAAAATTTAAATTTCCTCCCCAGTCCGCATCCACGGTGCAATTGCATGTGGGTCATGTAAGCCACCGTTCGTGGGCTGGCTGGAGATATAAATATGCGAGACGCCGTCGACTAGGCTATCACATATTTTATTTGTTAATTTGGGCGCCATATTTTTTTTTAAATCAAAAACTAAGACAATTGGACGAAATTGGTGGTTTCAGTGTCCTCGCCACGAAGCACCCACCCTTCCTTGGGTGCCCCAAGAATGATATTGGAGGCACATCCCATCTCCGGCAGACCGGAGTCTATTCCTGGTGGATCAGGATCGGCTTATCTCCCCGCCCAAAGTAACTCACACAACCATCTCGGTAGCTTGTTTACATTTAATTTTGGGCAAGATTATTTATAGAATAAATTCAAATTTAATTCCTACTCATGATCTACTCTTTTCATTAGCAACACTTAAGGCCGAACTCAGACCGTCGCCTAAATAAGAAGTGGTCAAAGCGATAATGGAAGGGAAATTTTTGGACGCTTAAAATTACAAGTGTTTGGGCAAAAATTACACGGCACCTGGAGCTGATCACTGATGCTGGTGGACGACGTGGTCTTCACAACCAGGTTAGGTCCGCCTGGTAAGTGTTCACCTTCTCGAATCTTTTAAATTTCCGGGGCCCTTTAGATAGGGTCCCCGGCGGCTTCAATATTTTTAAAAAATACATCGTCATTTACAAGTTAAGGACGAATAAATATCTACTCACTTTGAATTATCTAAACACTAATTACGAATTTTCGTCTCAATTTTTTTCCCGACCGTTCTCCTACGACACCCGGACCTACACCAAAGTCGCTCGCCATTTTCCCTCCCACTCTCCCATAATGGGTCAGTGAACGCATCCAAGGCTATTTAGCTATTTAGCCCAGTTAACGAGCGAACCGGGCTAAATTTAAATAGCTAGATCCTCTCCCGCTATCGACAGTCGGTGTCACCACCGAATCTTATCGATAGCGGGACCTGCTGATGTATCGGTTGTTTGTTATTTTCCCGACGGCTTCAACTAAAAATGCAACATTGAACCTACTGGAAGATCGTCGACTCTGCACCGAATGGCAGGCCCATCGGTCTACAGCAACCAAAACAAGACTACAGGCAGCTGTCAAAAACTTTATTAAAAAAAACAAGAACGCTATAGTCGAATTAGATAGTAGGCTACTAAGACTATTCGATACCCGTTACTCAGCTAGTAAATTCCAAACGAAATATACCCCACAAATCAATCGGAGTTTAGGTGGCGCCATCTGTCGAACTGCATATTTCCAAATTATCTGCAATACCTGAAGCATTTGAGCGCATTATTACTTCTCATTTAGAACAATTGTGTTCCTCGCTAATATCACCATATCAACATGGTTTTGTTATGCAAAGGTCAACTAACATGAACCTACTTAATACTAAAATGCAGACTGATGTTATATATACAGATTTTAGTAAGGTGACCGCCGCTCTCGGAGATAAACACAAGCTAAAACATAAGGCGGTTGCGCCGATGCCGGCTTGACCAACAGCGCCGACTTCGATTTCAAGTTATTTGAATAGAACTCTGAGGGTTATTTTTAAAAACTCAGTTTTCGATATGATTAACGAAACATCTGGAGTGCCTCAGGGTACTCTTTTGAGCCCATTGCTATTTACTTTATTCAGCAATGATCTTCCTTCTGTCATAATACATTCTCGAGTATTAATGTATGCTGATGATGTTACACTTTCTTTGTTCTATAATAATTTGCAATCGGGATTCGGTTTACAGTCTGATATTGATTGTTTTCAGAGATGGTGGCAATCTTACCTCTTAAATCTAAATTGCCTTAAATGTTACGTAATTACCTTCGATAGTGCTACGCCCTCTTTTATAAGCTATTTTCTTCATAATACGTAAATTTATTCGGTCAACGATTTAGAAGTTCTTCTTGACCCAAAATTAAAATTCGACTGTAACATAAAGTCGACTGGTAACAAGTTGTTTAGCGATGGACGAAAGAATTTGACAAGCCTTATACAATTATTTTTATCGCCACCACAACCAATTAGCTAGAGTTTGTTTCACCGGGTAGACCTTATACCTGGCCTACAGATCCAAAAAAAAAACACCCAGTTATTAATGACTAAATAAGTATTTACTTCCAATGACCGACAAGCCAATCAAACAGAGATACTGACCGAAGAACCCAAAGGTGCAAGGGGAAATCAATGCGAAAATTGACAGGTTGCTCGAGAAATCCGGACAGCTCCCCAATTGTCATAGTGAACAAGAATACAGGTCAGTGGAGACTTTGTGTCGGCTTTAGACATGTCAATGCCAAGGCTAAACTACATTTTGAATTAACTGAGGGAGGCGAGATACATAAGTATTCTAGACTTGAAAGATGGCTACTGGCAGATTCCCTTAGAAGAAAGTATCAGGCAATTCTCGGCGTTCACGGTGCCAGGAAAAGTACTATTCCGTGTCGGCAACCTTTTAGAGAGCACAGGATCCGGCTATTGGGCCAGAGATGTCGCCTCACGCATTCCAAGACAATGTCATCGTGATCGGGCGTACACTGGAGGAACTCAGACGGAACATGAAAGAAATTTTCCGACGCCTAAAGCAGGCAAACCTCAGGATAAATGAGGATAAGTGAAACCATTAAATGATCTATTGCGAAAAGGCCCGAAATGGACATGGAGTACAGATCACCAGCAGGCATTCGAAGAGGTAAAGGCAAGACAAGTGGCCGATCCTGTGCTGGCATGTCCAGATTTTGTGATACTATTCGTGCTACAGACAGACGTCAGCGATAGGGTCAATCCTAACGCAGGAAACAGAAAACGGAGAGAAGGTTATTTCCTATTCAAGTCGGACCCTGAATGGCGCCGAAAAAAACTATGGAGTAGAAAAAGAATGTCTGGCAATCCTGTGGGCGAACAGCATGGAAAGCCCCTCATGAAGGATAGCGTGATGGGAATTGCAGTTATACGTATGTACATGAAGGGGCATCCCAACGTTGTGGCTGATGCACTGATGCAAAATCAAGACACAGCCTTAGAAGTTTCCGAACTACCTCACGGAGGGAGGAGCTTTATATAGGCATATCCAACGCAGAGCAGGAAGCGAAGATGTGGCAGCATGGAACCTCTGTTCCTGAGCCAGA